GAGATGAAACATGGATACTGGTTCCCAATGGCATATGGCACAACAGCAACAAGAGATGGAAATGCAAGGTCTTGGTTCATTTGTAAATACACCACATGCTTTTCAGATTTTTGTCTGCAAAAAGCAAGACTAAGCCATCCTCCTTCCACCAAAAAGTTCTGCACAACTTGGAGTCAATCAGTCACATAACCCAATAGGATGTATCTTTAGATTAACCTACATAACTGTACGTCTCTTACAGTAATGAGAGAGAAAAGTAAGCAAGACAGTCAGGAGAGAACATAGAGATGAGTCAGTAAACTTTGTGTGATGGTAAGTTTGTTTTTTGTTTTAAGTTTTAATTAGTTTATGAGGGCATGACCTCCTAAAATTGTATCCTACATTACTAACAAACTACTCATTATTAAATCTCTATGTATAATATTTTAGTTTAGGTTATAAGGGGGAGTTCAGCCATTGATTAGCAAATCACCTGTTCCAGCTAATGAATAATAGGTTCATATAACCTAATCAAGCAAAGAAACTTTTAAGGATACTTATTGTTGTCAGTATTACATGTTTTTCTACTTCTTTGTGTTCGTCCTCTTTTGTTCTTTCTTTCTGACACCTTGCTTGGATTTGAAAGTCTCTTCATCAGTCCTGCAAAAATTAAATGTCATACCATGATTTGACCAGAAAAGGGCGCCAATGAGCCACTCGCACTTATGACAGTCTTTATTACCTGTTAACTCAGGGTGACTCTTGGCGTTATTCAGGAGAGAGACATATTTACAACCTCCAGATTCCTCATTCTCTTCTGGGGGAAAATGTAATCAAGAACATCAATTACCGTCAGCCTGTGTCATTCTGCATCATCTGAGTTCAAAGACATAGATCTGGGCTGCAACATGCACAGTGTTTCATTCCTGAAGAGCAACCTCATTTTCTTAGTGTTTTCATTTACATTAGGGAACCTCCAATGGAATCTAATTGTTTGGCCAGCCATAGTTAACTTGATTTAGCTTTAAGAATGCATTAATTTGTTCCTTTCAGAATGGCTGTGTCAGGGTTCCTGTGTGTGCGAGCTGTGCATCTCTATATAGAGGATCTTTGTGGAGAACTTGTGTAGCCTACACAGGTGAAAGTAATCTTTAAAATCATGGTGTTGGGATTAAAAGAGCACCAGAGCCTTCATTCAGTGCTGGTTTCTTGTGTGTTGTAGATGTTTTTTTTTGCTTCCTAGTCTCTTGCTTCCCTCAAGTATTTTTCCTGACATTTATTGGTTTTATTTGGTTTTCAGTATTTTCGTATTTTGGATTTTGCCTCTTTGGACTTTCATTAAACCATCCAGACTCATCCGCGCCTACTCCTCTCTGCATTTGGGTCCTCAAAACCTCCACCCAACCTGACAGGCTGATGGATGGAGCAGACAGACTCACGGCAGACACGCAGAAGGATGTAGCATTGCCTCTCTGCCAGGACGCTGCTGGCTTGGGCCATGCTGTGCTGCATGGGTTCCAGGTTCATCACCCTCCCGGTGCTGTCCATCAGCTCCACACAGTCTGCAGGAGAAAGTTTATTTTACTGTAGTGAAACAAAGAAAAGCTACTCGTTTGTAAAAGAAGAAAAAAACAGCTCAGATTTCAATCTGGTTCAGGTTGATTTTTCTCTTCATTTTTATAATTTTTTTGTTAAATTTTCTATAGACCTCTTGGGTATTATTAC